TTTCTTATGAGAAAAATAATTTCTGAGAGCTTAGAAGTTTGTTAAGGATTTCTTATGAGAAAAATAATTTCAGAGATCTTACAAGTTTGTTAATAGTTCTTATGGGAGAAATTCAAAATTCTTTAGAGTTCAGTTTTATGAAAATATTTCAGAGTTCATATAATCATAAGAGTTTATTAAAGAGTGTAAGACCGAAATTAAAAAAAAAAAAAAACATTACCAGAGAATATTGTCATATTAGTTTTGTTAAGGATAACTTTGTGTTCACATATAAGTTCATTCTCCCTTTTCATTTTATCTTCCTTCTCCTCCTCTTTCTCTCGCCTTCCCCTCTCTCTCTCTCTCTTTCTCTCTCTCTCTCTCTCTCGCTCTGTCTATCTCTCTCTCTCTCTCTCTCTCTCTCTCTCTCTCTCTCTCTCTCTCTCTCTCTCTCTCTCTCTCTCTCTCTCTCTCTCTCTCTCTCTCTCTCTCTCTCTCTCTCTCTCTCTCTCTCTCTCTCTGTCTCTCTCTCTCTCTCTCTCTCTCTCTCTCTCTCTCTCTCTCTCTCTCTCTCTCTCTCTCTCTCTCTCTCTCTCTCTCACTCTCTCTCTCTCTCTCTCTCTCTCTCTCTCTCTCGCTCTCTCTCTCTCTCTCTCTCTCTCTCTCTCTCTCTCTCTCTCTCTCTCTCTCTCTCTCTCTCTCTCTCTCTCTCTCTCTCTCTCTCTCTCTCTCTCTCTCTCTCTCTCTCTCTCTCTCTCTCTCTCTCTCTCTCTCTCTCTCTCTCTCTCTCTCTCTCTCTCTCTCTCTCTCTCTCTCTCTCTCTCTCTCTCTCTCTCTCTCTCTCTCTCTCTCTCTCTCTCTCTCTCTCTCTCTCTCTCTCTCTCTCTCTCTCTCTCTCTCTCTCTCTCTCTCTCTCTCTCTCTCTCTCTCTCTCTCTCTCTCTCTCTCTCTCTCTCTCTCTCTCTCTCTCTCTCTCTCTCTCTCTCTCTCTCTCTCTCTCTCTCTCTCTCTCTCTCTCTCTCTCTCTCTCTCTCTCTCTCTCTCTCTCTCTCTCTCTCTCTCTCTCTCTCTCTCTCTCTCTCTCTCTCTCTCTCTCTCTCTCTCTCTCTCTCTCTCTCTCTCTCTCTCTCTCTCTCTCTCTCTCTCTGTCTCTCTCTCTCTGTCTCTCTCTCTCTCTCTCTCTCTCTCTCTCTCTCTCTCTCTCTCTCTCTCTCTCTCTCTCTCTCTCTCTCTCTCTCTCTCTCTCTCTCTCTCTCTCTCTCTCTCTCTCTCTCTCTCTCTCTCTCTCTGTCTCTCTCTCTCTCTCTCTCTCTCTCTCTCTCTCTCCCCCCACCCTTGCTGACCCTCCCATACTCCTACTCCCTTGCCATCTTCATTTCTTCTTCTCAACTTCAAGTCTTAATAGATCTGACTTTTTACTATTATACTTACATTATTACTAAGTTAAAGATTCAACTTATACGTGAACACAAAGTACGAAGAAGTAGGGAAGATTAAGGTGGGTTTGGTTAAAATATACAGAGAGGAGAAACAAGGGTTAGGTTAAGGATAATATATTCAACAAAATATGTCCAAGACAAAATAAACTACATCTAAAAGGTTAGGTTAAAGGTTAGGTTAGGTTAGGTTAGGTTAGGTTAGGTTAGGTTAAAGGTTAGGTTAGGTTAGGTTAGGTTAGGTTAGGTTAGGTTAAAGGTTAGGTTAGGTTAGGTTAGGTTAGGTTAGGTTAGGTTAGGTTAGGTTAGGTTAGGTGAGGTTAGGTTAGGTTAGGTTAGGTTAGGTTAAAGGTTAGGTTAGGTTAGGTTAGGTTAGGTTAGGTTAAAGGTTAGGTTAGGTTAGGTTAGGTTAGGTTAAAGGTTAGGTTAGGTTAGGTTAGGTTAGGTTAGGTTAGGTTAGGTTAGGTTAGGTTAGGTGAGGTTAGGTTAGGTTAGGTTAGGTTAGGTTAGGTTAGGTTAGGTTAGGTTAGGTTAGGTTAGGTTAAAGGTTAGGTTAGGTTAGGTTAGGTTAGGTTAGGTTAAAGGTTAGGTTAGGTTAGGTTAGGTTAGGTTAGGTTAAAGGTTAGGTTAGGTTAGGTTAAAGGTTAGGTTAGGTTAGGTTAGGTTAGGTTAGGTTAAAGGTTAGGTTAGGTTAGGTTAGGTTAGGTTAAAGGTTAGGTTAGGTTAGGTTAGGTTAGGTTAGGTTAGGTTAGGTTAGAGGGTGGAGAATCAGAACAAATTATATTTAACACTAAGCACATAGGTTAAGTGGGTGAATTGTATGAGAGAATATAAGCTATGTAAAGGTTAGAAGGGGGAGGTTAGGAAGATAAGGGTACATAAGTTATGATACGTTATATAGGTTAAGTTAGGTTAAGTTAGGTTAGGTTAGTAATCTTAAGGATAGGTTGTTAGGTTAGGTTGGGTTAGATTAGTTAAGTTAGGATAAGTTAGGTTATGCAAGTTAAGTTAGGTTGGGTTAAGTTAGGTTGGGTTAGTTAAGTTAGGTTAGGATAAGTTAGGTTAGGTACGATACGTTAACTTAGGATAGGTTAGGTTAGGCTAGTTAGGTTATGATTGGTTAGGTAATTTACATTAGGTTAGGATATTTAAGGATTGGTTAGGTTAGGTTAGGTTAGGTTAGGTTAGGTTAGGTTGGGATAGGACAGGTAATTTATGTTAAGTTAGGTTAGGTTAAGTTAGGTCAGGTTTGTTAGGTTAGGATAGGTTATGCAAGTTAGGTTAGGTTAGGTTAAATTAGGTTAGGTTAAGGTAGGTTAGGTTAAGTTAGGATAAGTTAGGTAAGATACGTTAAGTTAGGATAAGTTAGAATAGGTTAGTTAAATTAGGATAGATTAGGTTAGGTTGGGTTAGGATAAGTTAGGTTATGCAAGTTAGGTTAGGTTAAGTTAGATAATTTACATTAAGTTAGGATAGGTTAAGTTAGGTTAGGTTGGGTTAGGTTAGTTAAGTTAGGATAGGTTAAGTTTGATTAGGTTATGTAAGATAAGTTAAGTTAGGATAAGTTAGGTTGGGTTAGTTAAGTTATGATAGGTTAGGTAATTTATGTTAAGTTAGGATATGATAGGATAGGTTAGGTTAAGTTAGGTTGGGTTGGGTTAGGTTAGGTTGGGCTAGGATAGGTTAGGTTATGCAAGTTAAGTTAGGTAATTTACGTTAAGTTAGGATAGGTTAGATATGTAGGTTATGCAAGTTAGGATAGGATAGGTTATGCAAGTTAAGGTTTGGTTAGGTTAGATTAATTATGTTAGGTGGTGAGTTAGAGAATACCTTTGATGACTCTGAGAATAACTTTGATGACTCTGAGAATAACTTTGATGACTCTGAGAATAACTTTGATGACTGAGAATAACTTTGATGACTTAGATATTAACTTTTGAGGACATGAGAATACCATTTGATGACTCTGAAAATAACTTTGATGTCTTAGAGAACAACTTTGATGAACGAAGGTGAGTTAGAGACTACCTTTGATTACTCTGAGATTAACTTTGATGAATGAAGATATCTTAAAGAACAACTTTAATAGCTCTGAGAATGACTTTGATGACTTAGATATTAACTTTTGAGGACATGAGAATACCTTCTGATGACTGAGAATGACTTTGATGACTTAGATATTAACTTTTGAGGACATGAGAATACCTTCTGATGACTGAGAATGACTTTGATGACTTAGATATTAACTTTTGAGGACATGAGAATACCTTCTGATGAATGAGAATGACTTTGATGTCTTAGAGAACAACTTTTGATGATTTAGAGAATAACTTTGATGAACGAAAGTGAGTTAAAGATTACCTTTAATGACTCTGAGAATAACTTTTGATGACTTAGAGAATAACTTTCATGTCTTTGAGAATAACTTTAGATGTCTCTGAGAATAACTTTGATGAACAAAGATGTCTGAGATTAACTTTTTGATAACTCTGAGAATAACCTTTGTGTACATGAGTAGTATTTTGACGTTTTGAGTGTGTCTTTGATTGTGTCTTTTGATGTATCGAAGAGTAATTTTGATGTCTCATCAAAATGAGACGTCTCTGATTTGATGTCTCGAAGGGTGTCTTTGATGTCTTGAAGGGTGTATTTGATGTCTTGAAGGGTGTCTTTGATGTCTTGAAGGATGTCTTTGATGTCTTGAAGGGTGTCTTTGATGTCTTGAAGGATGTCTTTGATGTCTTGAAGGGTGTCTTTGATGTCTTGAAGGGTGTCTTTGATGTCTTGAAGGGTGTCTTTGATGTCTTGAAGGGTGTCTTTGATGTCTTGAAGGGTGTCTTTGATGTCTTGAAGGGTGTCTTTGATGTCTTGAAGGGTGTCTTTGATGTCTTGAAGAGTGTCTTTGATGTCTTGAAGGGTGTCCTAGATGTCTTGAAGAGTGTCTTTGACTATATTTCTTAATTAACGACACATAATTTTAGTTACGAAAGTGCTGAAAGTAGTTACACTTGACTATTTGTAGTGAAGTGAAAGATTACTTAAGTTAAGAACAGTGTTGGAAAGAGGCTACACTTGACTATCTTCAGTTGAGAGAAGTGTTATTTTAGTTAAGAAAAGACAAGAAAATATGATGACAGTGACAATTTTTTGTGCTCCACAAAGTATAATGTCAGTTAAGAACAGCGATGAAAGGCTATTTTTTCTTACTTGACAAAACATAATGACTGTTGAGAGAGTGCTGAAAGAAGTTACACTTGACTGTTTGTAGTGAAGTGAAAGGTTATTTGAGTTAAGAACAATATTGAACGAGGTTAATCCCGACTATTTTCAGTTGACTGACAAGTAATTTTAGTTAAAAAATGATGAACGTGGCTATTTTCAGTTGATTGACGATGGATAAAATTAGTTATGATGAGTGTTGGAAAGTTACCTTTGATAATTTTTTTTAGCTAAGAGAAAGGTCATTTTAGTTAAGAACAGTGTTGAACGAGGTTAATTCTGACTATTTTTTAGTTGATTGGATAATAAGTTTAGTTGAGAAATGACGAAAGTGACTATGTTTTTAGTTGATTGGCGAATGATTTCAGTTAAGGAACGTTAAGAAAAGAATGTCTTGGTACATTTGATTTTAAAAAACATGTAAGGAAATGAACACAGTGAACATATGGGGAACATGATAAAGAACATAGAATAAATGTAAAAAAAGCTGATGAACACAGTGAACATGGAGAATATGGCAAAGAACACAGTGAACATGTAAGGAACATGAAAATATGACAAAGAACACTGGGAACTTTGGGGAATATGAACTTGCAGAGAACATGAAAATATTATAAAGAACACATATAAAATACGGAATGAGCATTTGGGAGGATATTTTAAGAACATGGAGATGTAACACCGCTCTAGTGTAACACCACCACTACAGTGTACCACTACTAAAATGGAACCCTAAACTAATAATGTAAACACTACTTATCCTGAGTAACACTTCCACATTGGTTGCACTTGGTAACACTGTTATGGGCTGACATATGATGGTTACACCGGAACTACAAAGTACACTGCCAACAAGGAGATGCTAACACAGGATGAAATACGCTGCCACCATCTGCCTTTGACCATTGAAACTATATCAAGCAACGAGGCAAGAAACATTGCTTGACTTGGAGAGTACTTTCTATGACTGTCATTAATTATGGAAACGGTTATCAGCCACTATATCCAAAAGGCTAAGAGGATTCAACAATTGACACAGACGGGAAATTTAACATGAGTTTTATTGAGACCAAAATTATGTCAATCACCACTTATAAATCCTACTCTAACACTGGCAAAAAGTTAAGAAATTTGGACATGGAACAAAAACTCAGAGATCACACACGTTACCTTAAGACCTGTCTCTCCCGGGCTGAGATGATCTTCACAGCCCTCTCTGGACCCCGGTGTCCCGCACTCTGTCTGTCCTAAGTCCCTACAGGACCTCTATATACAACCCCCACAGGGGGAGGGAAAGATCTGCTGATGCTACCCACCAAGAATGTACAAACACTCAAGAAATATTTCAATAAGCTTGTTTGACATTCACCATACACTCTTCAAGAGAGGAGTTATTAATTACGTGTGTGACTGACCTCTGACCTGGCCAAAAAGGGGGAGATCCAGGGATGTTTACACATAAGAATCTGGAGTCTAATTTCCTTGCCTGAAATATTACATACTTGAAACTATGCTGACTAAGATTAACCCAGGAATTTTTAATCAATATACAAGATAAACCGGAGGTCATCTGGGCTGACCTCTTGGAGAAGGCTTCCCTGGGTGTGAACTCTAAGGGGGGGGGGGGGGGAGGTCCTGGGTGTTACAGAGATAATATACAAATACACTATGAATATTGAAGATTTGGATAAGTTAGAAAATGGTCGAGATGAAGAGGGAGGTAAGAGATGAGAAGATAAGGGAGGAAAGTTAAGAGTGTGGGGAGATAAAAGGGGGAGTTAAGGGAGGGGGGGGGGGTAAGGGATGGGAGGGAGAAAGTAAGGGAGGGAAAAGGTGATATCTGACTGTGTGAGTATTACATAGCTGAGTAAACAAAAGGTATTGAAGGTTGGGTGCGGTGTGACCGCGTGAACATCAGCACGTTAGTAATTCTTTATATAGCTGAGTACAAAAAGGGGTATTGAAGGACATGATGTTTACTTGTGATAGACTGGAGAGGCCTTGATCTGATTTTGATGAACATTGAACTAAAGCACAGGACAAGAGCTGGAGCTCGGTAATTGTTCGGATCTGTTTTATAGAGTCTGAAAATGTAGTTGGGTTTTTTAAATCTCAGGGGAATTGATCGGGTATTGACAGAGTTGTAACACTAAAGTAGGCGGAGGACAGGAGCTGAAACTCAGTAACTCTATTTTCTTTACTTGCTTAGTTAGAAGTGTGGCGGGTTGAAATTTTAGGAAAATTCTTCAGGTAATAACTTAGATACGTGAGGGAGCTAAGGCGGGGGACAAGAGCTCAAGCTCGGTAACTAAATTATTGTATTTTACTACGTCTGAAATAGCTATGTTTTAATTATCAAGGGAATTAGTTAAATACTAAAGATGATATGCGAGGGAACTAAGGCGGGGGACAGGAGCTGGAGCTCGGTAATTGTTTGGATCTTATTTACTGTGTATGAAACACAGCGGGTTTAAATTTCAGGAACAATGATAGGATATTAACGAAGATATAAGAGAGGGTTAAGGCGGGGACAGGAACTAGAGTGTGTTAACTGCTTGGATTTGATTTACTACGTTTGAAATAGCTATGTTTTAAATCTCAAGGGATTTGGTTAGGTACTAAAGAAGATACGAGAGGGACGTAAGGTGGGGACGGGAGCTAGAGCTAGGTTATTGTTTCGATATATTGTTCTATGTTGTTATTGTTAAAGATTCGCTACTTGGAACAAAGTTCAAAGTAGCACGGGCTATGGTGAGCCCGTAGTGCCTTATTGTTCTACGTTTTAAATATGACAGTTAAAATTTCAGGGGGATGGACTGTTAGTAAAGATGTTATGAGAGCGGGTTAAGGCGGAGACTGGTGCAGGAACTGATTTACTGACTGAATTTAATTTACTACGTCTGAAATGTGACTGTTTAAAATTGGCCTAAAATTGAGCTATTAGTAGTGAAACTATCCTTATAAATGGGGCATCTAACAAATTTAGTCTAAAAATGATCTCTGTTAATTTTTTTTTGGTCTAAACTGGACTCTGATAATATTTGAATTTCCTCCATACGAACTCTTTAAGAACGCAGGTGTAAATGAAACTCAGAATAATTTCGGTCTTAAAATGGTCTCTGACAAATTTTTGTCTTCAATTGGAATTTTGGTCATGAACTGGACTCTGACGAATTTAGGGGCTTAAACAGGACTCTGAAGAAAATCGGTCTTTTTCAGGTGAAATAGCTGTAAATGGCTATAAAACTAAAACTAACTGTTAAAATGTCTGTTTTCCTTAACAAAACTAATATGACAATATTCTCTGGTAATTGTATTTTTTTTTTAAATTTCGGTCTTACACTCTTTAATAAACTCCTATGATTATATGAACTCTGAAATATTTTCATAAAACTGAGCTCTGAACAATTTTGAATTTCGCCCATAAGAACTATTAACAAACTTCTAAGATATCTGAAATTATTTTCTCATAAGAAATCCTTAACAAACTTCTAAGCTCTCAGAAATTATTTTTCTCATAAGAAATCCTTACCTCAAAATGAGTGATTTGAAAATAAACAAAAATTGGCCGTAGAGTTTAACTGGATCCCCCGACACCCTCAGATCTGATAGGAAAGAACTTACTGACTCCCAACGACCTGAAAGTACTAGTATAAAAAGCTATGAACTGTTCAGATCTGTAACCTATATCTATGGGCAGCACAAAACGTCCACTAGACTGTGCGACACAGTGGTTGCCAGGATCAGGTTGGGTTACCGTTACCTGTGGCAGGTGGCTGCAGGTGACGGGTCTCCCAATCCTGAGCACTCCAGTTGCAAACTCTGTGAGCAGGAACTACGGCACGATCTCCCACACTACATCACTGAATGCCCAGTTATTAGACCTTTCAGACCAGTTGGCATGAGGTACCTGGAGCTTTGCAATTACTTTATTCACTATCGTATTCTTGAAGATATCCTCACAGTATACCCAAAATTTGCCAGTGCCGGCTACTAAACACATGGCTCTATATGACTAACCATCCTGCGAGATGGGGACTTGTATTACCACTGCTGCCTTATTGAATCTTGTGTTGTTGATATCCTCAAAATGCATCCGGAGTCTGCCAGTGCAGACTGCCTATCACATGCCTCTGTATGACTAACCATCCTGTGTGATGGGGATTTTTTAGCATCACCTAGTTAGCTTTGTTGACACACTATTCTCCACTTCATATAGTCTAGGGTAGCTGCACTAATGCAGAAGTACCTAATGTTCATGTCCCCCAAGGGAGGTCCTCCAGGGGTAGTCCTCCAGGGGTGGCCCCCAAGGGTGGTCCACCAGGGATGGTCCTCCAGGGGTGGTCCCACAGGGGTGGTCCCCCAGGGGTAGTCCTCCAGGGGTGGTCCCACAGGGATGGTCCTCCAGGGGTGGTCCCACAGGGATGGTCCTCCAGGGGTGGTCCCACAGGGACGGTCCTCCAGGGGTGGTCCCACAGGGATGGTCCTCCAGGGGTTGTCCTCCAGGAGTGGTCCTCCAGGGGTGGTCCCCCAGGGGTGGTCCTCCAGGGGTGGTCCTCCAGGGGTGGTCCTCCAGGAGTGATCCTCCAGGGGTGGTCCCCCAGGGGTGGTCCTCCAGGGGTGGTCCCCCAGGGGTGGTCCTCCAGGGGTGGTCCCCCAGAGGTGGTCCCCCAGGGGTGGTCCTCCAGTGGTGGTCCTCCAGGGGTGGTCCCCCAGGGGTGGTCCCCCAGGGGTAGTCCTCCAGGGGTGGTCCCACAGGGATGGTCCTCCAGGGGTGGTCCCACAGGGATGGTCCTCCAGGGGTGGTCCCACAGGGACGGTCCTCCAGGGGTGGTCCCACAGGGATGGTCCTCCAGGGGTGGTCCTCCAGGAGTGGTCCTCCAGGGGTGGTCCTCCAGGGGTGGTCCCCTAGGGGTGGTCCTCCAGGGGTGGTCCTCCAGGGGTGGTCCTCCAGGGGTGGTCCTCCAAGAGTGATCCTCCAGGGGTGGTCCCCAGGGGTGGTCCTCCAGGGGTGGTCCCCCAGGGGTGGTCCTCCAGTGGTGGTCCTCCAGGGGTGGTCCCCCAGGGGTGGTCCTCCAGGGGTGGTCCCTCAGGGGTGGTCCTCCAGGGGTGGTCCTCCAGGGGTGGTCCCCCAGGGGTGGTCCCCCAGGGGTAGTCCTCCAGGGGTGGTCCCACAGGGATGGTCCTCCAGGGGTGGTCCCACAGGGACGGTCCTCCAGGGGTGGTCCCACAGGGATGGTCCTCCAGGGGTGGTCCTCCAGGAGTGGTCCTCCAGGGGTGGTCCTCCAGGGGTGGTCCCCTAGGGGTGGTCCTCCAGGGGTGGTCCTCCAGGGGTGGTCCTCCAGGGGTGGTCCTCCAAGAGTGATCCTCCAGGGGTGGTCCTCCAGGGGTGGTCCCCCAGGGGTGGTCCCCCAGGGGTGGTCCTCCAGTGGTGGTCCTCCAGGGGTGGTCCCCCAGGGTTGGTCCTCCAGGGGTGGTCTTCCAGGGGTGGTCCCCCAGGGGTGGTCCCCCAGGGGTAGTCCTCCAGGGGTGGTCCCACAGGGATGGTCCTCCAGGGGTGGTCCCACAGGGATGGTCCTCCAGGGGTGGTCCCACAGGGACGGTCCTCCAGGGGTGGTCCCACAGGGACGGTCCTCCAGGGGTGGTCCCACAGGGATGGTCCTCCAGGGGTGGTCCTCCAGGAGTGGTCCTCCAGGGGTGGTCCTCCAGGGGTGGTCCCCAAGGGGTGGTCCTCCAGGGGTGGTCCTCCAGGGGTGGTCCTCCAAGAGTGATCCTCCAGGGGTGGTCCCCAGGGGTGGTCCTCCAGGGGTGGTCCTCCAGGGGTGGTCCCCCAGGGGTGGTCCCCCAGGGGTAGTCCTCCAGGGGTGGTCCCCCAGAGGTGGTCCCCCAGGGGTGGTCCCCCAGGGGTAGTCCTCCAGGGGTGGCCCCCAAGGGTGGTCCACCAGGGATGGTCCTCCAGGGGTGGTCCCACAGGGGTGGTCCCCCAGGGGTAGTCCTCCAGGGGTGGTCCCACAGGGATGGTCCTCCAGGGGTGGTCCCACAGGGATGGTCCTCCAGGGGTGGTCCCACAGGGACGGTCCTCCAGGGGTGGTCCCACAGGGATGGTCCTCCAGGGGTTGTCCTCCAGGAGTGGTCCTCCAGGGGTGGTCCCCCAGGGGTGGTCCTCCAGGGGTGGTCCTCCAGGGGTGGTCCTCCAGGAGTGATCCTCCAGGGGTGGTCCCCCAGGGGTGGTCCTCCAGGGGTGGTCCCCCAGGGGTGGTCCTCCAGGGGTGGTCCCCCAGAGGTGGTCCCCCAGGGGTGGTCCTCCAGTGGTGGTCCTCCAGGGGTGGTCCCCCAGGGGTGGTCCCCCAGGGGTAGTCCTCCAGGGGTGGTCCCACAGGGATGGTCCTCCAGGGGTGGTCCCACAGGGATGGTCCTCCAGGGGTGGTCCCACAGGGACGGTCCTCCAGGGGTGGTCCCACAGGGATGGTCCTCCAGGGGTGGTCCTCCAGGAGTGGTCCTCCAGGGGTGGTCCTCCAGGGGTGGTCCCCTAGGGGTGGTCCTCCAGGGGTGGTCCTCCAGGGGTGGTCCTCCAAGAGTGATCCTCCAGGGGTGGTCCCCAGGGGTGGTCCTCCAGGGGTGGTCCCCCAGGGGTGGTCCTCCAGTGGTGGTCCTCCAGGGGTGGTCCCCCAGGGGTGGTCCTCCAGGGGTGGTCCCTCAGGGGTGGTCCTCCAGGGGTGGTCCTCCAGGGGTGGTCCCCCAGGGGTGGTCCCCCAGGGGTAGTCCTCCAGGGGTGGTCCCACAGGGATGGTCCTCCAGGGGTGGTCCCACAGGGACGGTCCTCCAGGGGTGGTCCCACAGGGATGGTCCTCCAGGGGTGGTCCTCCAGGAGTGGTCCTCCAGGGGTGGTCCTCCAGGGGTGGTCCCCCAGGGGTGGTCCTCCAGGGGTGGTCCTCCAGGGGTGGTCCTCCAGGGGTGGTCCTCCAGGAGTGGTCCTCCAGGGGTGGTCCTCCAGGGGTGGTCCCCCAGGGGTGGTCCCCCAGGGGTGGTCCTCCAGGGGTGGTCCTCCAGGGGTGGTCCCCCAGGGTTGGTCCTCCAGGGGTGGTCTTCCAGGGGTGGTCCCCCAGGGGTGGTCCCCCAGGGGTAGTCCTCCAGGGGTGGTCCCACAGGGCTGGTCCTCCAGGGGTGGTCCCACAGGGATGGTCCTCCAGGGGTGGTCCCACAGGGACGGTCCTCCAGGGGTGGTCCCACAGGGTCGGTCCTCCAGGGGTGGTCCCACAGGGATGGTCCTCCAGGGGTGGTCCTCCAGGAGTGGTCCTCCAGGGGTGGTCCTCCAGGGGTGGTCCCCAAGGGGTGGTCCTCCAGGGGTGGTCCTCCAGGGGTGGTCCTCCAAGAGTGATCCTCCAGGGGTGGTCCCCAGGGGTGGTCCTCCAGGGGTGGTCCTCCAGGGGTGGTCCCCCAGGGGTGGTCCCCCAGGGGTAGTCCTCCAGGGGTGGTCCCCCAGAGGTGGTCCCCCAGGGGTGGTCCCCCAGGGGTAGTCCTCCAGGGGTGGTCCCCCAGGGGTGGTCCCCCCAGGGGTGGTCCCCCAGGGGTAGTCCTCTAGGGGTGGTCCCCCAGGGGTGGTCCTCCAGGGGTAGTCCTCCAGGGGTGGTCCCCCAGGGGTGGTCCTCCAGGGGTGGACCCCCAGGGGTGGTCCCCCAGGGGTAGTCCTCCAGGGGTGGTCCCCCAGGGGTGGTCCTCCAGGGGTGGTCCCCCAGGGGTGGTCCCCCAGGGGTGGTCCCCCAGGGGTAGTCCTCCAGGGGTGGTCCCCCAGGGGTGGTCCTCCAGGGGTGGTCCCCCAGGGGTGGTCCCCCAGGGGTAGTCCTCCAGGGGTGGTCCCCCAGGGGTGGTCCTCCAGGGGTGGTCCTCCAGGGGTGGTCCTCCAGGGGTGGTCCCCCAGGGGTGGTCCTCCAGGGGTGGTCCCCCAGGGGTGGTCCTCCAGGGGTGGTCCCCCAGGGGTGGTCCTCCAGGGGTGGTCCCCCAGGGGTGGTCCTCCAGGGGTGGTCCCCCAGGGGTGGTCCCCCAGGGGTGGTCCCCCAGGGGTAGTCCTCCAGGGGTGGTCCCACAGGGATGGTCCTCCAGGGGTGGTCCCACAGGGACGGTCCTCCAGGGGTGGTCCCACAGGGATGGTCCTCCAGGGGTGGTCCTCCAGGAGTGGTCCTCCAGGGGTGGTCCTCCAGGGGTGGTCCCCTAGGGGTGGTCCTCCAGGGGTGGTCCTCCAGGGGTGGTCCTCCAAGAGTGATCCTCCAGGGGTGGTCCTCCAGGGGTGGTCCCCCAGGGGTGGTCCCCCAGGGGTGGTCCTCCAGGGGTAGTCCTCCAGGGGTGGTCCCCCAGGGGTGGTCCTCCAGGGGTGGACCCCCAGGGGTGGTCCCCCAGGGGTAGTCCTCCAGGGGTGGTCCCCCAGGGGTGGTCCTCCAGGGGTGGTCCCCCAGGGGTGGTCCCCCAGGGGTGGTCCCCCAGGGGTGGTCCTCCAGGGGTGGTCCCCCAGGGGTGGTCCTCCAGGGGTGGTCCCCCAGGGGTGGTCCCCCAGGGGTAGTCCTCCAGGGGTGGTCCCCCAGGGGTGGTCCTCCAGGGGTGGTCCTCCAGGGGTGGTCCTCCAGGGGTGGTCCCCCAGGGGTGGTCCTCCAGGGGTGGTCCCCCAGGGGTGGTCCTCCAGGGGTGGTCCCCCAGGGGTGGTCCTCCAGGGGTGGTCCCCCAGGGGTGGTCGTCCAGGGGTGGTCCCCCAGGGGTGGTCCCCCAGGGGTGGTCCCCCAGGGGTAGTCCTCCAGGGGTGGTCCCACAGGGATGGTCCTCCAGGGGTGGTCCCACAGGGACGGTCCTCCAGGGGTGGTCCCACACGGATGGTCCTCCAGGGGTGGTCCTCCAGGAGTGGTCCTCCAGGGGTGGTCCTCCAGGGGTGGTCCCCTAGGGGTGGTCCTCCAGGGGTGGTCCTCCAGGGGTGGTCCTCCAGGGGTGGTCCTCCAAGAGTGATCCTCCAGGGGTGGTCCCCCAGGGGTGGTCCCCCAGGGGTGGTCCCCCAGGGATGGTCCCCCAGGGGTGGTCCTCCAGGGGTGGTCCCCCAGGGGTGGTCCTCCAGGGGTGGTCCCCCAGGGGTGGTCCTCCAGGGGTAGTCCTCCAGGGGTGGTCCCCCAGGGGTGGTCCTCCAGGGGTGGTCCCCCAGGGGTGGTCCCCCAGGGGTGGTCCTCCAGGGGTGGTCCCCCAGGGGTGGTCCCCCAGGGGTAGTCCTCCAGGGGTGGTCCCCCAGGGGTGGTCCCCCAGGGGTAGTCCTCCAGGGGTGGTCCCCCAGGGGTGGTCCTCCAGGGGTGGTCCCCCAGGGGTGGTCCCCCAGGGGTAGTCCTCCAGGGGTGGTCCTCCAGGGGTGGTCCTCCAGGGGTGGTCCCCCAGGGGTGGTCCCCCAGGGGTGGTCCCCCAGGGGTGGTCCTCCAGGGGTGGTCCCCCAGGGGTGGTCCTCCAGGGGTGGTCCCCCAGGGGTGGTCCTCCAGGGGTAGTCCTCCAGGGGTGGTCTCCCAGGGGTGGTCCTCCAGGGGTAGTCCTCCAGGGGTGGTCCCCCAGGGGTGGTCCTCCAGGGGTGGGCCCCCAGGGGTGGTCCTCCAGGGGTGGTCCTCCAGGGGTGGTCCCCCAGGGGTGGTTCCCCAGGGGTGGTCCCCCAGGGGTGGTCCCCCAGGGGTGGTCCCCCAGGGGTAGTCCTCCAGGGGTGGTCCCCCAGGAACACACCAGTGTAAGTGTTCACACAACACAATAGTATAAATGTGCAGAATTTAGCTGTGGTATAATATACATAACTTAAAGTATATTTTGTTTCACAACTCATACATTTTGTATACTCATACATATGGTATTCCTTCACATAGTGTACATACTCATAAGGTACACTGATACATATGGTATACTTATACACATGGTACACACATACAAGTAATATTCTCTAAAGCATGGTTTACACTTATGTATGACATACACATATATGGTATACATTGTGGAAATATCAATATCATTATAGAGTTGTACATAAATTTATTCATGTCAGTTAATAAGTATTGTAATAAATGACCAAAGCCTTACGGCTCTATTAACTGTAAATGCTGTATTTTAATCCAATATATATAATTTCTGAACGAATTTGAGGCTCAAGAAATGTTCATAGAGGGGAGTGAACAGGTGTTCACTCCCATCTATGAACATTTCTTGAGCCTCAAATTCGTTCAGAAATTATATATATTGGATTAAAATACAGCATTTACAGTTAATAAAGTCGTAAAGCTTTGGTCAGGAGTGAACACCTGTTCACATCTGTAATACTTCCATAAATCACATATATACCTTCTAAATCTAGCATAGATTATATATTATACAATTATGTTCTATGCTGTAATTATATCTTCCTTGGAGGTAAATATTATACATAAATTTTGTCTAAGCCTATTGAGTTTATTTTTTCCTAAATAAACTTACGAACACGTATATATGATATTTTTTAAATTGAATTTTGAATGTGAGGGATATCCCCGCGGCGATTATAAGCGGCCGTTGGACCCTAACTGCCGCCCCCTAGCAATACACTCCGCTACTTCCATATATTTCTTCCCTCAATATTTGCTCTAATGTTATTTTTATGGTACAAGACGAAAAGAGTAATCCAAACTCCATCTAGCAACAGTTTATGTGAATCTACAGCTTCAAATTACACAGCTGAGTAGATGAAAGGACCTGTTTATGCGCGGAGTAAATCAATCCGCTACACAAGCGGGGGGTTACACGGCTTCAACTGTTACCTTAGCCAGCTGACTAATTAGTCACAATAAACTACCCCAGCAAAGGGCTTCTCTTTACTGTCATATAGACTACATCGGTTTATAGTTGATAATCACAATATAATTAATATAACAAAAATTAATTTGGGAATCAAATAATATGATCAGTAACCTTCAACAAAATTTTTGATCAGGCTCTGCAACCCGTCCACAGTCCAAGTTCATTCCATCCAGCAGCCCGTTCTCATAAATAAAGGCCAAAGACCATTCCGTCCACCCGCCACACCCGCTGTTTATGAATGAAAAACGGTTTACACACGACTCACAACTGCTGACGTTCGAACATATCCGGAACAAGTGCTTCACTGACGACTTGTGTTCGAACCACAACGCTGTAAATGCTTCACCCACGTACTACAAATACAAATAATCGCCAACAGAACCTAAACACCTAACCTAACCTATACCTATATATACACAATATGCTAATATATTATAATATTAATTTATACTTGAGAAATTTCCCGATTTCAATGAACAGCATGTTAAAATTTATGAATGCGTCTGTGGGGTCGACCGCTGAATGGAATGGACTGGTCTGAGGACGGGTTGAAATACAGATAATCGTCAACAGAACCTAAACACCTAACCTAACCAGCGCCTAAATACGTACAATATTGTAATATAATAATATTATTAATGTATATTTGAAAAAATTCCTGCTAAGAATAAACAGCATGTTAAGATTTATGAATGCGTACTTGGGGTCGACCACTGGATGGAATGGACTGCCCTGGAAACACAAACCGAAACTGTCTCTATTTTCCGCTTGTTACAACTTGTAATAAAGTTGTTACATCTTGGCTTAACGTGTTTATGACGTATTAGAACGCTGTTACAACTTGCTATATTGGTTTTTATAACTGGTTAGGAGGTGTTAAAACTTGTTCGAACGTTGTACCAACGTCGTAGTTTCGGTGTGTGTTTGGCGGGTGGTCTGAGGACGGGTTGCAGGAAGTAGTCGACCATGCATCAAGGAACATGCATGAAAACGGCTGAAAACTCTTGAACAAAATAAACAATTGCAACGGAAAATAATATAAGATAAATCAATCAATAACGAATGACTCATTAAAGAAGTGTAAGAAATAACTGAAGAAAGAAGAAGGTAGAGATGAGGAAGACGAGGAGTTAAGGAACTGTGTAGACGAGGAGTTAAGGAACTGTGTAGACGAGGAGTTAAGGAACTGTGTAGACGAGGAGTTAAGGAACTGTGTAGACGAGGAGTTAAGGAACTGTGTAGACGAGGGAGAGTGATAAACTGGGGCGCAGGAAGTAACCAATAATTATACATATAAGAAGAACATATAAAGCGAAAAGATAATAAGATAACTATTCAGTTAAATTAAAATACAATAATGAAGTAAATTAGATGAGAATACAGAACTGTATTAGAATTTTTTAATGAACGAGAATGCATTATAAAGTAGAATGAAAATACAACACTGGAGAAACTTGAATGAAAATACAATAATACAGATACCCAGATGGGCATGAGAATATAGTTACAGATACCCAGATGGGCATGAGAATATAGTTACAGATACCCAGATGGGCATGTGAATATAGTTACAGATACCCAGATGGGCATGCGAATATAGTTACAGATACCCAGATGGGCATGCGAATATAGTTACAGATACCCAGATGGGCATGAGAATATAGTTACAGATACCCAGATGGGCATGAGAATATAGTTACAGATACCCAGATGGGCATGAGAATATAGTTACAGATACCCAGATGGGTATAAGAGTAGAGTATAATAACACAGAGATACCCAGATGGGCATGAGAATATAGTTACAGATACCCAGATGGGCATGAGAATATAGTTACAGATACCCAGATGGGCATGAGAATATAGTTACAGATACCCAGATGGGCATGAGAATATAGTTACAGATACCCAGATGGGCATGAGAATATAGTTACAGATACCCAGATGGGCATGAGAATATAGTTACAGATACCCAGATGGGCATGTGAATATAGTTACAGATACCCAGATGGGCATGCGAATATAGTTACAGATACCCAGATGGGCATGCGAATATAGTTACAGATACCCAGATGGGCATGAGAATATAGTTACAGATACCCAGATGGGCATGAGAATATAGTTACAGATACCCAGATGGGCATGAGAATATAGTTACAGATACCCAGATGGGTATAAGAGTAGAGTATAATAACACAGAGATACCCAGATGGGCATGAGAATATAGTTACAGATACCCAGATGGGCATGAGAATATAGTTACAGATACCCAGATGGGCATGAGAATATAGTTACAGATACCCAGATGGGCATGAGAATATAGTTACAGATACCCAGATGGGCATGTGAATATAGTTACAGATACCCAGATGGGCATGCGAATATAGTTACAGATACCCAGATGGGCATGCGAATATAGTTACAGATACCCAGATGGGCATGAGAATATAGTTACAGATACCCAGATGGGCATGTGAATATAGTTACAGATACCCAGATGGGCATGAGAATATAGTTACAGATACCCAGATGGGCATGAGAATATAGTTACAGATACCCAGATGGGCATGCGAATATAGTTACAGATACCCAGATGGGCATGCGAATATAGTTACAGATACCCAGATGGGCATGCGAATATAGTTACAGATACCCAGATGGGCATGAGAATATAGTTACAGATACCCAGATGGGCATGAGAATATAGTTACAGATACCCAGATGGGCATGAGAATATAGTTACAGATACCCAGATGGGCATGAGAATATAGTTACAGATACCCAGATGGGCATGAGAATATAGTTACAGATACCCAGATGGGCATGCGAATATAGTTACAGATACCCAGATGGGCATGTGAATGAAATAATACAGAGATGCCCAGAGGGATATGAGACTACCTTAATATAGATACCCCAACTGGGTATGAGAATACAATAACAGATGCCCAGATGGGTATTTAAATACAATAACAGATACGCAGATGGGTATTTAAATACAATAACAGATACCCAGATGGGTATTTAAATACAATAACAGAGATACTCAGATGGGTATGAGAATGCAATAACAGAGATACCCCGATGGGTATGAGAATGCAATGACAGAGATACCCAGATGGGTATGAGAATGCAATAACAGAGATACCCAGATGGGTATGAGAATGCAATAACAGAGATACCCAGATGGGTATGAGAATGCAATAACAGAGATACCCCGATGGGTATGAGAATGCAATAACAGAGATACCCAGATGGGTATGAGAATATGATAATATTCAAATAAACAGATTGGATAGAAACAGGACAAAAAATCAGAATAGGCCTCCATGAAGAAGCCTACATATGTGTTGTGGGCCCACACATAAAGGGGTCAGAGTAGGCCGGGTAGACTGTAGGGACCACATGCCCCATACATAAAGGGGTCAGAGTAGGCCAGGTAGACTGTAGGGACCACATGCCCCATACATAAAGGGGTCAGAGTAGGCCAGGTAGACTGTAGGGACCACATGCCCCATACATAAAGGGGTCAGAGTAGGCCAGGTAGACTGTAGGGACCACATGCCCCATACATAAAGGGGTCAGAGTAGGCCAGGTAGACTGTAGGGACTACATGCCCCATACATAAAGGGGTCAGAGTAGGCCAGGTAGACTGTAGGGACCACATGCCCCATACATAAAGGGGTCAGAGTAGGCCAGGTAGACTGTAGGGACCACATGCCCCATACATAAAGGGGTCAGAGTAGGCCAGGTAGACTGTAGGGACCACATGCCCCATACATCAAGGGGTCAGAGTAGGCCAGGTAGACTGTAGGGACCACATGCCCCATACATCAAGGGGTCAGAGTAGGCCAGGTAGACTGTAGGGACCACATGCCCCATACATCAAGGGGTCAGAGTAGGCCAGGTAGACTGTAGGGACCACATGCCCCATACATCAAGGGGTCAGAGTAGGCCAGGTAGACTGTAGGGACCACATGCCCCATACATCAAGGGGTCAGAGTAGGCCAGGCTGAAACACCAAGGTATGGCAGCCCCCGCGCCAGGCTGGGATGTAAACAAAGGAGCCGCAGAGAGGTGCAGGAGTGGAGGGAGACACAAAACAAGGGGCAGGAGCCCCCGGGAGAAGAGGATCAAACACAGAGGGAGTGCACAAGGAGGACCCCAAGGCGGCCGCCCGGCTGGTCGCGACTCCACAAGTTATTTATAAAGAGGTAGGTAACTCGTGTGACGTCACACCTCCGTTTCTCAAGCCTCCATGCTACACTTTTACCCCAATCTCCTCTTTATTCTTATCTAGCGCCTATCCACCCTCTTCCGCCTCCCCGAGACCTCCACCTGAGGAACTGTTTAGTGCTCGCACCATCCCGCAGCGGTAGACGTGATCTACGATGTAGAAAATGATGTAGAATGGATGGGAGAGGAGAGAGCGGGCAGGGATACGGACACGCGGAGACGGTTTGTATGGTCGAGTATCGTGGTTGCTGGGCGGGATTGTGGGCGTTGTGGGCCGCGGGTCTGGCACAGCCTTGACTACTTCAAGCTTGGCATAGCAGCCAACGTTTGCTCTGAGCCTCTGCTGTCTGGTTGTAGGGGGGTTGTGGGTGGTAGTCTTGGTTGTACGGGGGGGTTGTGGGTGGTAGTCTTGGTTGTAGGGGGGTTGTGGGTGGTAGTCTTGGTTGTAGGGGGGTTGTGGGTGGTAGTCTTGGTTGTAGGGGGGGTTGTGGGTGGTAGTCTTGGTTGTAGGGGGGGTTGTGGGTGGTAGTCTTGGTTGTAGGGGGGTTGTGGGTGGTAGTCTTGGTTGTAGGGGGGTTGTGGGTGGTAGTCTTGGTTGTAGGGGGGTTGTGGGTGGTAGTCTTGGTTGTAGGGGGAGTTGTGGGTGGTAGTGTTGGTTGTAGGGGGAGTTGTGGGTGGTAGTCTTGGTTGTAGGGGGGTTGTGGATGATAGTTTTAGTTGTAGGGGGGAGTTGTGGGTGGTCGTCTTGGTTGTGGGGGGTTGTGGGTGGTAGTCTTGGTTGTAGGAGGGAGTTGTGGGTGGTAGTCTTGGTTGTAGGGGGAGTTGTGGGTGGTAGTCTTGGTTGTAGGGGGTTTGTGGGTGGTAGTCTTGGTTGTAGGGGGGTTGTGGGTGGTAGTCTTGGTTGTAGGGGGAGTTGTGGGTGGTAGTCTTGGTTGTAGGGGGGTTGTGGGTGGTAGTGTTGGTTGTTGGTTGTAGGGGGGTTGTGGGTGGTAGTGTTGGTTGTAGGGGGGTTGTGGGTGGTAGTCTTGGTTGTAGGGGGGGTTGTGAGTGGTAGTCTTGGTTGTGGGGGGGTTGTGGGTGGTAGTCTTGGTTGTAGGGGGGGGTTGTGGGTGGTAGTCTTGGTTGTGGGGGGGTTGTGGGTGGTAGTCTTGGTTGTGGGGGGGTTGTGGGTGGTAGTCTTGGTTGTAGGGGGAGTTGTGGGTGGTAGTCTTGGTTGTAGGGGGGTTGTGGGTGGTAGTCTTGGTTGTAGGGGGGTTGTGGGTGGTAGTCTTGGTTGTTAGCTGTAGGGAGTTTGTGGGTGGTAGTGTTGGTTGTAGGGGGGTTGTGGGTGGTAGTGTTGGTTGTAGGGGGGTTGTGGGTGGTAGTCTTGGTTGTAGGGGGGGTTGTGAGTGGTAGTCTTGGTTGTGGGGGGGTTGTGGGTGGTAGTCTTGGTTGTAGGGGGAGTTGTGGGTGGTAGTCTTGGTTTTAGGGGGGGTTGTGGGTGGTAGTCTTGGTTGTAGGGGGGTTGTGGGTGGTAGTCTTGGTTGTAGGGGGAGTTGTGGATGTTAGTCTTGGTTGTGGGTGGAGTTGTGGGTGGTAGTCTTGGTTGTAGGGGGGGTTGTGGGTGGTAGTCTTGGTTGTAGGGGGAGTTGTGGATGTTAGTCTTGGTTGTGGGTGGAGTTGTGGGTGGCAGTCTTTGTTGTAGGGGGGTTGTGGGTGGTAGTCTTGGTTGTAGGGGGGTTGTGGGTGGTAGTCTTGGTTGTAGGGGGGTTGTGGGTGGTAGTCTTGGTTGTAGGGGGGTTGTGGGTGGTAGTCTTGGTTGTAGGGTGAGTTGTGGGTGGTAGTATTGGTTGTAGGGTGAGTTGTGGGTGTTAGTCTTGGTTGTAGTGTGTGGTGAAATCTACCTGTGATAGATTAGATGATTAATTCAAAAGATTGTATATAATTGTATATAATACCTGTGACCGACTGTTTTTGATAATTAATTAACACCAGTAAACTTCCCTTCACACATTTTAGCGGGTCTTATTTTAATTTTACTG